GAATTACAAAAAACAAATCAAAAATCTAGGGATAGATAAAAAAAGATTAATGATTCAGTAGAGAAATAAATGTTTGAAAAAAAAAGAGATTAATACAAAAAAGTATAAAAAAAAAAAAAAAGAGGACAGTTTGTTTTAACAAGCTATAGTTTTCCCAATCGGTTGGTTTCAAATTAAGAATATAATCAAACATATGGATAGATAAGCCTTTAGATACGAATATCACTATCCAGTTATTGATACAATTTTACTAGAGCTGAAAAACCGCTCTGTCAAAGTTGCTCTCTGTGGACAGCAGAGAAAAGCAGAAAATCTTTCCTCAGGCAGCAGAACGCTACAAAACATTTGCAATCCATAGACTGTCATCTATCAGGTTTGTACGATAGATATTTCCATCAATGACTGAATAGTGAAAAGAAAAAAAAGGATTCTGTCTATTTAAAAAAAACCCAGGCAGTGAATTGAGTGAACAAAAAACTAACTTTAAACATATTGTGTTTCAGACGCTTTGTGGCTCAGATCGTGACGCTGTGGCTCCACCTTATCAGCTGATCGAATCAGGAGTTACCAAAGACAGATACCGCGACTTTTGAATTTATATAGGGGTTGGGGGATGGCTACTGTGTGAGCGTGAATTTTTCACCCCCTCCCAAGGTCCAAACACCTGACGGATTAATTAACCGTTCACATCAGATGACCCTTAAACCGTGTGGCGTGGTGTGAGCTCCTCATGGTGTGACCTATCACATCATGTGACCCTTAGGAAGGACAGTGATTCACAAAGAGTCTCTCCTCTTTTTTCTAAGTGGTGTATTTTTCACCCCCTCCCAAGGTCCAAACACCTGATGGCTTAATTAACCGTTCACATCAGGTGACCCTAACCGTGTGGCGTGGTGTGAGCTCCTCATGGTGTGACCTTTCACATCATGAGACCCTTAAGACGGACAGTATCGTCTTTGTATAGAATGCTCTGGTCAACCCTCAGTAAGTCACCCAACCTTGCTGGAGAACGGTTGGGTTCACACAGCAGCCTAAAGTGATCCAGATCTTTTCCACTGCAACCTGTGTCTGAGCGAGCACAGAAGCGGCTAGAAACACAACAACCATTGCGGATGATAAGGTGGGAGAGCATTTTATTTATTTATTTTTTTTCTAACCATCTTAAAAAAGATTGTGTATTTAAGTTTGGGAAAGACAGCTAGATGCGATCTAAACCTTCCCTCCATTTTCACGGAAGTAAACAAGGAGCAAGACCGCTTGTGACGTTATTAAAGTCTCTACTGCGCATGTGGGATGCTTAAACCGTATGAATGGACAAAATTAGACATTTGTTTTATTTTTTATTTTTATTTATTTTTTCTTTTTTTCTTTTAATAGACCGATACATATACATGTACATCTTTCTTTATCGTGTATATCGATATATAGATATATCTATATATATATATATATATATATAAATATATATATATATTAGAGCTGTCAGACGATTAAAATATTTAATCACGATTAATCACATTAATGTCATAGTTAACTTGCAATTAATCGCACATTTTTATCTATTCTAAATGTCCCTTGATTTCTTTGTCACATTATTTTTTCTCATTTTAATGCTCTTATGAATATGAAAAAGTAGATTGGGTTGCTTTATGCAAATGTTTTTTATTGAAAACAACATTGGCATACTGTAGTGTTCAATTTCACTCTAACATTTTCACTTGGAGCAGTAATCTCTCACACAATGTAATACACTGTCCATTAGTAAAAGAGTGAAAAAAAATAGAAACAGAAACAGCCCCTTCAACAGCCCTAGGGATCAAAACAGGGCAATACAAAATTAAATTACAAAGTGCACATGTAATGTAAACTAGGACTCAGCCTATAGTGCAGTTAAACCATGGCTTAATATTTTTCTCAAGTTTGCTTTGAACATAGCAGTCAGGCTACTACTCTTTATTTGCCAGAACTCAGCCTCTTATTTCATAAAGAAAGAACAGTAACGGTTACCAATAAAAGGTAAGGCTATTACTACTTTGCTTTGAGCCAGTTACTCAAACAGACAAGCCTGTTGACATTTTCAGGCAACAAGGAAGCTCGCTTCTTTTGCACAACATACCCAGACAGTGAAAACAACCTTTCAGAGGGTACTGATGTAGCCGGTGTTGCCAAGTACTTGTGTGCAAGGCGGGCCATTTCACTGTGTGCCCCTTCATGTGTAGACCACCATTCCTGGGGACAGTCATCCATGCCAATAAGAGGCTCTGCCTTGTAGCGCTCCAGACATTGCTCAATACTGTCCTCCTCTTCATCAGACGAAGACTCATGTGCAAGCATGAGAGTTGGTTTCTTCTTAGGAGGCTCAGGCGTGATTTGGATATCCGGCTGTGCAGGCCTCTCCCTCTCCATCTCCTGGAGCAAGGCACGGATCATTCTCCACACCTCAGCCCTGTCAGGTTTGCTCAGACACTTAAGGTCCTTAAACCTTGAAATGAAATGAAATCAAACTTTAATACAAGAACAGGTATAACAAAATTGTGACAATATCCCTATCTCTACAGTGCAAAATTCAAAAATGCAAAGCAAAGAAGCAAGCAAACTAACAAAACAAACATACTGAGAGAAACACAATGCTGGGGATGAGGATGAGTGTAAATATGAAGCATGGCATTCTGACCTTGGGTCAAGTGCTGTAGCAACTCTCAGCCATGTGATGTTGGTCTTCTCCTTGCGACCGTCCATTTCTGCTGCGAAGGTTCCCTTGAAGTTGATCATGTAAGCTGGGTCATCTTCAGTAACTTCCATCACTCGCGACAGATGACACAACGTTGGAAGCACCACTGAGCAAGACACAAACTTCTCTCCTCCCAGAAGTTCTGACACATACCTGCAATAATATAAAGAAGCACTTTAGTGGGAAATTAGTTAGGCCTACTGTAATTCACTCAGTGTTTTTTTTTTCTCTCTCTCTCTCACTCTCTCTCGCGCGCTCTCTCTCTCTCTCAGCCTACCCGCACAAAAACACACACCCAATTAGTTACTGTTCTGACACAGACCTACTTTGATTATTAAACAAACAGACACACAACACAGATACACAATAAATTACCTGCAGTGCTCCAGCACAGCCTCGAGCTTCTTCAGTTTCTCCAGCTCAGTAGCTGTTGGCATGGCGACGTTCGTTGCGTGCAGGGCCAGTGCATCTCTCAGAGGTTCAGCATTCCGCTGAACACGCTTGATCATTTCCAGTGTACTATTCCATCTCGTTGACACTTCCTGTACGAGTGACTCTTTCTTCTGATGGTGTGCGACTTGTTGCTGCTCAAGCTGTGCTTGGTTTGCTGGGCTGTGCTTGAAATGCCCCACAACCTTTCTGCATTTCGCCAATGCGCTGTCAAACGGGCTGTTGGTTAGAGAAACCGTGACGGCTCGGTGCACACTGTGTGCGATGCACGGCATGTGCTCAAAGGGGAGCTGCCTGGCCGCTGCAATCATGTTGCGTGCACTATCCGTGGTCAGTGAGACAACTTTCTGTTCGATGTCCCACTCTCTAGCAACTTGCATAAAGTGCTCTGCAACAGCGTCAGCGAAGTGCCTCTCTTCTGTCTTTACAACAGTCAAAGCATGCGACTGAAGTTTCCACTGTGGATCAAAGTAATGGGCTGTGACCCCGAGATAGTTGTGATTACTGATGGACGTCCAGTAATCACCAGTGAGCGCGACTACTTTTGTTTTCTCCAACGCCTGCTGTAACTTAGCCTTTTCCGTTTCGTGCAATTTCAGTATGTGGCTTGTAATGGTGGCTCTCGAAGGCAATTCGTAGTTCCAGTCGTTGGCTGCGGTCCGTACAATATTCGCGAGACCCTCGTCCTCCACAACGTTAACAGGCCTACATGCAGTAGCCACCCATTTAGCTATGGCTGCAGTAAGTTTATTCTTAGTTAAAGTATCCATGCGCTTCTGTCTGAAATCATCCATTGTTACCTGGCTTTGACGAGGGGGCGGAGAATTCAAATCAGCTGAGTGCTTGGCCATTAAATGGTATTTCAGACTGGTCGTGCTGCGATGATAGCTCAGTTCACAACGACAAAACACACAGATGACTTTGGTCTTGTCAATGGAACCATTTGGCAACTTTTTAAAAGAAAACTTTCCATTCAGAATACTATCGGCATCCATTTCGGCGTCTCACGCTAGCCATCCACTCAAAATGCAGCGTCAACTCTTTTCATCGCCCAAGTGAGGTTGCAGCGTGCCTGATGTTTTGTTTCCGGTCTAACTAGATCCGGAGTGGTGTTGTAGTTTTTCTAACGTTACTAGTTGTTGCAACAGCATGTGAAAAAACTACAAAGTGTGTTAGGCCAAAAAGAACGTTATTCACACGATACAAAAATTGACGCCGTTAAATTGGGTTTACGTTAACGCCGTTAATAACGCGTTTAACTGACAGCACTAATATATATATATATATATATATATATATATCTCTTGCAGAATCCTATGAGGCAACGGATCTCATAGTAGGCACACTGAGGGGGCTACAGCGGCTGCACCTAGGGGGGGGGGGTGAGTGACTGCACTCATCACACAGCTGCTCAGGCAGAGATTGAAACGGTGTGCTAACAGTGATTATATAAGAAATCAATACAAGTAATAAAAAAATAATCATTTAATCATCATAACCGTTATTAAAATAACATAGTTAATTTTTTATATGCATTTTTATAAATTTTTAAATAATTTTTTAATTATTCATTTTTTAATTATTTTTTTAATTCAATTTTATATTAATTTTATATTAATTTTATATCAATTTTATATTAATTTTATATCAATTTTATATTAATTTTATATTAATTAAGGCGGGACTTCCGGTTTAATTAAGGCGGGACTTCCGGCTGTCACTTTGGAATGTGGGCGTGGTTTCGTGTTTGATGACAGGTGGGGTATATAGTTTTTGAAGTTCGATGGCAAATCCTCCCTCTTCAAGTTGGCGATCCAACGACCAACCCGTCCGTGGAGGATCAGGAATCAGAAAGGTGGAATAACTCTTTTTTTCACTTTTACCCGATGTATTCCAGCATCCAGCTGCCATGCACGTGGGCATTGTCAGTTTCACTATAGCTCTGGTGAATTTCAATGGTGAAGTCCTCTGGAAATCTTCAATAATTGTTGTTGATTGCAGATGTGTCTAGTAGTTCCCATTGATTTAGCTTGTAAAGCGGGGAGAATGGCGCTAGGCTAACCGCACCGTGACGTCACTGCTGGAAGATGGCAGGAGGGAGGGGCTACTATATTTGGGCAAAGATGGCCGCTCCCAGACTCTGTGATCGTGATGAAAATTCCTTTATTAGATGGTAACCATCACTGCAGACTCGTTCAAACCTTTTATTAAAGACTCTCAGATTTATTTTAGTATTTTAAATATTTTAAAATTCGTACGGAATCAGCTGTTCCAACCGTTGCATTTCCGAATTCTCCCGAGTGGTGCCCGGCTTTACCCGAGTAAATAAAGTGAATGTGATTGGTCGATTATCAAGGGGGCGGGATTGTTGTGGCAGAAGGTTCAGAAGCATGTTTGGTTGTGGCTGGTTTGTGGGAAGCATCTTGCTAACCAGTTAGCAACTTAGTGCTAGCAGGTTCCCAATGGGAAATTCCATTGGGACCAAGTAGCACTAAATTGGTGACTTAGAAACGACGCTGTCAAGGAACGCTATGGACAGCGGAAACATGCAAGAGGAGGAGAGTTTAGTGTCAGAGGTCGTGGATGAGTCTCCTCCGTCATCCATTTTTTATTTAGAGGAGGAAAGCGGGGACGAAGATGTTGTGGAAGAGGACGCCAGGGCGGCAGAAGCTTGGTTTGGTGTAGAAGGCTTCCAGCCGTACATGTTTGAGCCCTTGCCTCGCAACGCTGCCAGTTCTGTTAGCTCTACGCCTGCCGAAGACACAGACGTCCATCCCCGTGAACACTGGGACGCAACTCAATGGGAAAGGAAAGGATTCTGGTTTCAACCGTTGCGTATATTAGCTGCGACACATGAATCAAGATGCTATGACCGAAAACATTTGATTGACAGATGACTGCTGATATATGATTGGCTGAATTTAGGTGTTCAGGCTGACGTAGAACTAACTGGCCTGCAGAAGATAACGGAAAAAAACACAGATTTTAGGACAGGATTTCTTTTTAAATAGAAATTTTCTAAATTTTGGGACAATATGGTCTGATAAAGAGAAATTTTATATTTATGTTTAACCCAGAATGATTTGACATTTAAATATGATTTCCCTACAACTTTAATTAAAAGTTTTCTGACATCAAGCCTTCATCAGGTTCTTGGTCCAAACCTTAGAGACTCACTGAGGACCTGGACCCCTGCGGGTTGGATAGTTTTTGGCCCCAGATGGTCTGCAGCAGATTTCTTTTAATGTTTGGATCTTCATTCATCTGACGGGTCTGACAGAAGTGTTTGTTTTCTTCCTCAGATGGTTCAGGAAGCAGGGATCCATGGAAACCCTGAGCTGTCATAGAACCACCATCCATCCCTCCGCTTCCCCGTTGGACCAGGTTCTGGTCCCTGAGGTCAAACGGTCCATCACCTTCACAGGTTCTCTGATTCATTTCCTACCAGTTCTGGTCCGAACAGATCAGAACCACTCATAGCTGGAGCTCAGCCCAGTTAACCCATTTCAGCTTGCACAGCTCAGTTTACTGAAACTGAAAGTTCCCCTCACATCGTCTGAGGTCATGACGTTGGCTCTGCCAGACAGACGGGAATATCTGGAAACATTAAATAGATTTGGAAGAAGACGGATGATGAAGCTTAGAAACAGAAAAGTGTGTTTTGGTTCAGATTTCTCCTGCAGCTTCAGTCCTCATCATTTCTGCTCATTCCCCTCACACACTCTGAGCTGCTCACAGGAATGCTGGGTCACATGAGTGGGCCGGACTGACCTACTTTCAACCAATCGCAGGCCGCCTTTCCGCTCCCCCCCCTGCAGCCCAGTCACATTGAATCTCATGTGCTTCAGAGCTGGAGCAAAACAACAAGGAGGAGAAGACAGGAGAGTGGATTCAAGAAAAGACAGTTAACAGATAGAAAAATAAAACATAAATGAAAGAATAAAAAGCACCAAAGAAATGTAGAAGAAAGGAGGAAACAAGGAGGGAGGAGAAGAACAGGATGGGAAGAAAAAGATGAATGTAAGAAACCAGAAAAGTGAAAGACAAAAGAAATATGAAAAACTAAGAGCATATAGAAATAGATAAGATAGAAGGCGAAGCAAAGAGAGCATCATTTCAGCGCTATCATTTATTTGCGCTCATAAGCGTCATTAGACCTATTTAAGGGTGGCTTCAGTCACCCTTTCTTTGGCATTAGCCACCCTATAATTATTTTGCGATTTATAAAAATATATATATTTTTTCTGTATTTATTTTTTCCTCATATTTTCCCAAAACAAATGCAGTAAAGCACCGAATAAAAGCCATAAAGAAGAAAAGTTAATCTAAACAATCATAGGCGTAACTTCCTTAAGGACTGGTGTGGACATGTCCCCACCAATATTTTGTACACGTATTTTGCTTTCGGTGCTGTGTATATCTGATTAAAACCCCATTCAGGCCGCTCCTCAGAAAGAAAATAAAAAACTTCTCCCCGCTGCTCACCGTCCACAAACCCCGACAAAAAAACTCAGAAAAAAGATTCTGTTGCCTCTCGCTTTCTCCCCATCACCCCCCTCCAACCTCTCCCCATAACATTTGAATTGAAGATATCCGCGGGTGGCGGGTCGGGTTCGGTAGTCATCCTAACGGGTTCGGGCGGGTGCGGGTTGGTAAAACTCGACCCATGCAGGTCTCTAAGCTACACTACATTCAGTATCGTTGCCATAGAAACAGACAACAGCGCCAATATATCAGAATTATACTAAAACACACGCAAATAATTTCCCACATAAAAAACAGGACTTTCAGTCCATTACAGTTTTCCGTTTTTAGAGGGTTGTTTATTTTGCGTTTATTAAGTGATGGCTGTGGTATATTAGCTTTCACTGCTATAAGCTTTCGCAGCAGTGATTGATTAATTTAAACACCTGCTCTACTGATGGTCTATCGGAGTTGGTGTTTAGGTTGAACATAAAGAACACCTTTTATTTGAAGCTTCTTGTAGCTACTGTTTTAATCCCGGCTTTACTTAAAACTTCTTCCTGACTTTGATAGTGTTGCCATTCAGTAGCAAGCACTGCGCCCCTTTTTCTTTTATATGTACACGTTCATTTAAGATTTAGCGTGTTGACAACTCATGAGCAAGCTGCTTTTTGCAATCTAGCAGGAAGGTAAGGATAGGATCTTGCAGGTGTGACGTCACTCTGCAGGGGGTCCAAAGATAAAAGATTTAAACAATTTTGGCATTGGAATTTCAGATTTAAGGGAGTTAGAAAGTTCACTTAGTAAAAGTGCAAATAATAAATCTGATTAGCGATTACTTTTAAGCTGGTTGAACATACTGCGACAGACTGGTGACCTGTCCAGGGTGATCCCACCTCTCACCCAGAACGTGGCTGGAGATATGCACCAGCACCTCCTGATCCCACTGAGGGATAAGGTTAAAGAAAATGGATGGTTGAACATAGTCCGCTCTCCCAGATTCTATCATCAGTATTGATACCCTCAGGGGCGGATTTAGGAAATTTGGGGCCCTAGGCAAAGACAGGCAGGGGGCCCCCTGAGAAGAAAACCCATAAAACAGACCCATTCTACAGATAGAGAAATGTTAATAGAATAGACATCCATTATCTGTTCTAGGTTTTGTCCCTCTCTTCTTGTCCCTTTTTCCTCTCTATTTATCAGCGTTCTGATGGCATTTTAGCCAAAGGATTTTTATCAAAAACATAATTAATGTGAACAAATAAGGATTAGTTGTATTAACCATACATGGAAACAGAGTTTTATGGGGCCCCCAGAACTTGGGGCCCTGGGCAACTGCCTAGTATTGCCTAATGGTAAATCCCCCCTGGATACCCTGCTGGTGGATGTTCTTGACAGAAAGACGGAGTTGCTTAATCATATTCTGCTTAAGGTCCCATAAGATCTTGTCCGAGTCCTGGTTTAAAAGTAAATTAATTTTAAAAAGTGACCCAAAATTGACTGTCAATAAATGTTCTACAAAATTGATATATTTATTTGATTTGTACTGTCTGTTTAGATTTATGTGATATTTTTTGCACAAAATATATAAGTGAATATTGTAACAGTTATGTTTTCAACTGTAAGCATTAAATTGATAAATGTTATTCGCATTTTTTTGGCTTTATCCTTTCCAACAAAAAAAAAAAGGCGTCGCGCAGGTAGCTCCCTTTCCTTATGAGCCGTCCCCACCAACTTTCAACACAAAGTTACACCCTTGTCTTAGACAACGCCTTAGCAGGTGCACTGAAAAAATTCGGCGCGCGCTCTGCGCGCGCATTATATTCTAGGGGCTGAGCCACCCTTGTGTCTTAAACCTAGAGACGCCCCTGGCGCTCAGTCTCATAAATCAAGCTGCCATATTGCCGCAGCTGTAACATCATTTGGGTTTATTGCTCCTGGATTTTTCCCATGGCCCCTCCGTGGCGTTCACTCCGTCTCTAGTCGCTGCTTCTCTACATCAGTTTTGTTTATTGTTCAGATTCGCCTTTCCTCTGTAGAGTCCATCGTTTCTTTTACCTCAAGATGTCCCAGAAAACTAGATATTTATGTTTGGTTGTTTCTGTGTTTATGAGACCTAAATCTGTTTAAAGCAGTTTAATCAAAGAATAATTAGTTCTCAATGAAACAGGTTAGTTTAATTAAAGAACAAAAATATGAGAGACTGAATAAAATGAAGCTAAATTGGATAAGAAATGAATAAGCACTGAACTTAAAGGCGAGAGAAAAGAGTCGGGAGGATTTCTGTTATTAATAAAATCTCATATTTTAATGGAAGTTGTGGCGAATTTATTCCATATATGTGCAGAATTATCTGTTTGACCAAGATTTGAGCTCCATTCATTCATTTTTCTAACACACAGCAAGTAGGGCTGTGTGTCATAAACCATATATGACAGTCTAAGTAACATCTAGTAATAAATCTATAAATCTATTAAAGTTGCTCAACACTGGTTATGATGCCAGAAGTTATGTTTAATCTGCTCCTTAGACCTTCTGCTGTGACTATTTGTAGCTTTGGCAAAGAGTTGAAGAGAAAAACCTTGAACACTCGTCTTCTGCTTGGCTGAGGCTCGGTTGTCGGGGCAACAGTCTCAACAGAGACGCCCAGACGTCCCTACAACCAGACACCTCCTCCAGCTCCTGGGAAGACGAGGAGTTCAGGGAAGAATTCAAAGATTTACGACTTAAACAAGAGCTTAATTTTATACATTTAAATACAAACTTGATTTAATTTTTCTACAGAATGTAGGATTAAAAAAAAACTACTTTTTTTAATAATTCCAGCTCTGAATTTAGATTGCCCACGAGTCTTTCTTACATTCCTGTTTTCATATCAGTCCTTTTCTCTCTATACTTGCTTATATGTTTGAAATGAAGCTTTTTTGCGTCGATGGATCCACTGGAACGTTTGCTCAACGTTCTGCTGCATAGATGTCGCTTCTCTGGGTATTTGCTGTATCTAAACAAAAGGACTGATGGCTGTATGTTTGTCTCAGACATGTTAACCTGTTGTTTCCTGTTCCTCTGATACCATCACATATTTATAGCTGCACTTGTGAACATGAAGTTAAATCAATAGTTGGAGCCGCTGGCCTCTAGCAAGAGGATTATTGGTGCAGCTCGTCCATCTCCAACCCTCACAAACAAACGCTATAAATACAGCCATTCACTTCACACAGACTGTGGAGAAACACCCTGACAGCAGGACTGGAGAGCTAGATTCAGGCCTCGGTTTGGAGTCAGTGTCTGTGGAGGAGCAGGAAGCTGAAGGAGGGAAAGCAAAGATGGTTTTTGATACTGGGAATCCAGGCAGCTGCCCAGGGTGGCAGTAGAAGAATAGAAGGGGCGTCGCAGGATGAAAAATCTACCCTCATTACTTGACTGTTGTGTTCAAACAGCTGGCCTCATTTTATCTGTTTTATTTAAAAATGTTAGCTTGTTCCATTAAAAAATATATTTATTCAATTCACATCATGGCATCTCAGGTCACTTTCCAGTTCACCAGATCATCCAGTCAGATTGATTCAAAGTTTTCTATCTAAGGAAAACCAGCTGATTGCATCGACTCATTGACTCTTCAGCAATCCCTCACACTAAGCATGCTTGTAGCGACAGTGGAGAGGAAAAACTCCCTTTGAACAGGAAGAAACCTCCAGCAGAACCAGGCTCAGTGTGAGCGGCCATCTGCTGAGGCCGACTGGGGTTCAAGGAGACAGAAGCAGACATAGAAAAAGAAGCCTAGATACAAAAGGCAACTGTCAACCAGATCCACAGGCGGCCCCGTCCAGGAAACACACAGCCAGGCAGACGAGCTTCGAGCCAGCTCCCATGTCAGAGGATGAAGAGAGCACATCCAGTTAGTCACCGTCAGAGAAACAGGACTACACTGGAAAACAGGCCAAGCTCCAACATCTAATTGTGACGGCTGCTCAGTAGTGCAGTGCAAGAAGGTTCTGGGTTCGACTCCCAGCCAGGGGTCTTACTGCATGGAGTCTGCATGTTCTCCCTGAGCATGCATGGGTTCTTTCCCGGTACTCCGGCTTCCTCCCAAAGTCCTAAAACATGACTGTTAGATTAATTGGCTTCTCTAGATTCTCCTTAGGTGTGAGTGTGAATGGTTTTCCTGTTTGTCTGTGTTGCCCTGTGATGGACTGGAGACTTGTCCAGGGTGGATCCCGCCTCTCACCAGTAGACAGCTGGCGATAGGCACCAGCACACCTCGTTACCCCAGCTGGGATAAGTGTGATGGACAATAGATGGATGGATCTAATTGCTACATAGTGATGAATGTCAGTAACAGTGTCATGAAGCGAGGGCAGATGGACCCAGTATTCTAGGAGAGAAGTCAGTAGGCAAGTTCAAAACAGGTGGGGGGGGGGGGGGGGGCCGCCCAATCTCAGACACTCTGTAGTGGGAGAAACACAGGTAAGTGACCACGATCATCTGACAAAAGATTATTATCCGAGTTGGTCACTTACCTGGTTTAACAGTCCAGTCCAAGAATGTCCCAGTGCTGCAGTCCCAGAGGTCTTGTAGGAAGCCGATCCTGGTGAGGGATCCAGAACAGACAGATCGGGCAGGATCCAGACTTCCAGGCCTCGTACAGCTCCCTGGCAGGTTCAGAG